GCTAGCAACTTGAAGATGTTAATGAAGTGTTCTGTGCTTACGTAAACACGTTCAATGTGTTCAATACAATTCCTGGCCTGGATATGACGCCTAGTGCAATCTTATGACCCTGGTACAGCATTTAACATAGGCCTCATTAGCCAGACTCTTTGTGGGTATCCAGACTACCTGGGCGTTAGAGATTCTGGTATTGCTGCTCTGCGTGTACCGCCGTGGCTGTCCGAACTAACTACTACTACTACTACTATTTAACTGAAACTTTGTACTTACCTAAACTGCTTATTCTAATGCCCTACATAAAACTGCGCGATTTTATCAGCGCGCCCTTGCCGTCGTCTCGGCCCCGTACATTTTTATTCGCATGATCTATACATGGTGTTACGCAAATGTCCGATTCATTTAACAAATAGGCGGGTTTTAGCCTGTCTATTGAGATATTGGCTTTACGGTTTTGCATCTGTATTTGCAAAACTTTTGAACCCTTTTTGACTACCTGGTATGGACCGTCATATGGTGTTTTCAAAGGTTTTCGAACAGAGTCATCACGAACGAAAACGTGGCTGCACGTCGGTAAGTCGGGATGTACAAACCACTTACGATTTTCGCGAGTTGCCTCAATCGGTTTTTACCGCGTTATCCAACCTTCGTAGATTACTTTGGCGACCGTCTCGACTATAATGTCCTTTATTGGGAAGGCTTCGGACCAGCGCATGCCTCTATGAACAACAGTAACACAATACCTGTAACTGTCCTCTGTTATCGGCAGTGGTGGCCCAACTATGTCGACGTGGACGTTTTCTAAGCGGCCGGCTTACTGGAAACTCTCGTACTCTGAAATGATGTGCTTATTCACCTTTGCCCGTTAGCAATTAACACATGTTTTTGCCCATTTACTAATGTCGGATTTCATGGAAGGCCAAAAGAATTTTTTGATGATCATCTTGCGTGTGGCCCTTATACCTGAGTGGCTAATATTATGAATAATGTCGAAAGCCACGCGTCTAAAAGACTTGGGTAAATAAGGTTTCGCGTTTGTTGTCGACATTTCGCATAAAATGTTTACATTGTAAATAGGCAAAAATATGTATTTCATGTCAACTTTGTTTTTACCGACATTGTCCGGCGCGCACAATGTAGTCATCAGATTTCTGCGACTCAGCTAGTTGCTCGTAGTCGGTAGTCGTGTGACAGGAAATTGTCGCGACGCGTGATAAGGCGTCGGCGACTACGTTGTCCTCACCGTTGATGTACCTGATGTTATTTGAAAATTCGCTAATAAATAACAATTGGTGGGTTCTGCGTGCTGTCTCTGAATCAGTGCTTACCTTAGACAATGCGTGAACTAAAGGGCGATGGTCTGTGAAGATAATCAATGGTCTACCTTCGATCAGCTTCCTAAAATGTTTAATAGCCATGTAATTGGCGAGTAACTCCCTATCATAGGTGCTATACCTTTGTTGAGTCATAGAAAGACGCTTAGAAAAATAACCTAGGGGTTTCCACGTACCTTTGACTAGTTGTTGTAGAACTGCCCCTACGCAGGTATTTGACGCGTCGGTCATCAGCGATAAGTCAGCGTCAGCGCTCGGGTATGACAACGTGACTGCGTTTTGTAACTGACATTTACATTCATGGAACGCTGCCTCAGCTTCGGGTGTCCATGCGATCGGTGTTTTATCCTTTTTCTTCACGTTGTGTAAGTACCTAGACAACGTGCTCTACGTACTTACCGCATGTGGAATGTGTTTCCGGTAAAAGTTTAACTACAAATAAAATGGGTCGACTAAATTTATGGTCGCGCGGAGGCGGCGTAGGATTTCACATTCGATTCGGATTTCAGATCGAGGTATTGCTGCGAGAACCGTGCCTCACCCTATCTCACTCCGTGTTGTACAAATGTGGCTTTCGTCTGTTGTATGTGGGGCCAGGATAATTATTGGCACAGCCTACCATCCGCCGTGGTTGGATGTCGACTTGTTTTTCGACTCACTGACTGACACAGGCTCGTCTTTTGGAAACTATGATCGATTAATAATCTTAGGTGATTTTAATATCGACTTTATGAATACGACTGACAGGTATCATACATATTGAACCAATTTTTTAAATTTATTTTCACTACGACAAATAGTTAAGGAGCCCACTATACTGACCATAGTCAGAGCACGGTCGACCTTTACATATTGTAGCCTTTGATAATTATATCAGCAATGGTTTAGACTATCTAAGGTGAGGTATGATTACTCATTAAAAATATGAATACATTATATTGTGTGTTTAATTCCGGTCTTCTTTGTTGAAGTAGTGGACATTTGAAGAATGGATTTAGATAATCAATTAAATTCAACTGAATTAGATATTTTAGGCTCATACCTTGGCATACATATCATAAAATTATGAGACCTCGTTTGTCAATCAAAAGCCTTTGTGGAATACGATACTTTGTTGTCAGCGATGATGTTGGATTCACCTGTGTTCCTTCCATCGCTCCTGTCAGACTCATGCCTTGATATCTTTGAATATCTCGTTTGTGTGTGAGGTATCACCTTTCCCGAGAAGATCTAGGACCTCGAGTGTATAAGTTGTTACTGAGATAATTAGCCCCGTGGCTCGAATAGTTAGTGTTTAACTTAGGCTTCTGTTGGCTAATATGAAATTGGCTCTCAGTGCTTGGTGAACACTAAGCTAGTGTTCACCAGTCACTAACCCAACTTAGATAAGTTACCAAGGCTTAACGTTTAGGAAATAGTATTTAAAAATGCTAAATTATCACCTATGATATATTATGATCTTAATAATTAATTCGATTCCTTTCTTACTCGTGTTATTCAAGGTGTAATAAGAATTCTGATTTAGGTGATTTAGGCAGGGTATGAGGTCGGCCTATTCTTCTTCCCTTATCCTCTGTCACCCTACTTCTCTAGTTACATAAATCCTTTGTAACTAGTCTATATCAATAGGATATTACTTCTCACCTTGTATCAATTAGCTACCTATGTGTATATCAAACCCTTTAGGTATGCTGTTATCTATTTAATACATACCCGGTGTACTCTATGTATTTATACTTGAGTTTAAATGAAACAGTGGTGTCATGTGAATGGAGCTATGATACTATTAACAATATTTACATCTACAAATTACAATAAAGTATCATAAATACTTTTATTGTCCAAAGGTTCCTGTTTTTATTGCTCCTGTTAGTTACCCATTCTCGTTAAAGACCGAGATGTGGTACGTTAAATAATGTTCTTAGTTAGAGTTGCCAGTACACTTGTTTGTATGGGCTTACTAATTTTGCGAACTATATTATGTTCACCTACTATAATGCAACCTGAGTAGCGACAAGCTCACTCTGTCTGCTGTTCTTGGTTTTGCTGACTATATTGTACTAACTCGTCTACGATGATACTATATGAGTAGCGTCACGCTCACTCCATCTGCTGTTCCTGGTTTTTGGACTATATTGTACTCATCTACGATGATGCAATATGAGTAGCAGCATGCTCACTGTCTGCCGTTCCTGGATTGCGAGCTGTATTGTCTTCATCTGCGATGACACAAAGTGAGTAGCAACATGCTCTTTTTGTCTGCTATTCTTGTGCCGACTTAAGCGTTGACTTGGCTATATACTAATACTGGTCTGTCCTGTGTGAACTGTGGCTGGTATATGTTTTCATCTTTTGAAGATATCAATTCGTAACATATCAATTATACCTTGGAATGTTATATTATTAAATAATATTATACACAACAACCTGTTGATGGTCTTTATGCTTCATCACAGTCATGTCGGATCACTGTGGTTAATCATATATAGACTATGTATGTTTTTCTTGAGAGTTGTCAATAGCTTATCTATTTTATTATTATTACAAATTTGTGAGTAAATAAAACTGCTTTACATTTGTCTTTATCGGGAATCATAAAGCCGGGTACGTTCATGTACATACAACGTAGCTCAACGTGTACGGTCAAAAAATGACACAATACTAAAACTAAACATTTTGTCCTAAAATCGTTATCGTATAGTATAAGTGGGTTTTGTCTTAATTCCAGATTTTAGTGACTTTTTTTCGAAAAAGTAACTTATAAGTAAATACCTTAGTTATAAACCCCTGCATATATATTCCTTTCTTTAATTGTATGTATGCAATATCTCTATATTATAACTTTTTTATAAAAAACAATCGACTTCAAAAGTGAGTGAAACCAAATCTGTTTACCAAGATTTATTGAAATCGGTTAACGGAAAGTGGATGAAATCCATCTGATATGCAGTATGTTATTACTGATTTCCAGAGGGCCTGATAAACCATAAGTAGCGTGTTTCGCTCAGCTGAGTCTCGGAGTTTTTTCATTATAAATATTAGCTTTCTAACACGCAAGCAAAATATTGTCAATATGTCTATGCCAATTTAATGCCTCATCAATGTGTTCACCCAGATATTTAATACAATCAGTTCTGGAAATACTGAGACATTGACAAGGAGCTTCAGAACAAGTATATGCCGCAATAGAGAAATCTGTCGGAGGTGTGGAAGTATTTCTCATCGAGAAGGGGATATGACCTGAGGTACCCCCTTTTGCAACAAAAAAAGGGATCGGAGGGAGGGAAGGGAGGGAAGGGGGAGGGAATAAGTTCACAAATGTCACAGTAATAGCGTAACATACACATAAAAGAATACACGCGAATTGAGAACTTCCTCCTTTTTTTAAAGTCGTTTAAAAATACTCATTGCCTATACATACATCGACATAGTTTATGTTACATTGCATTAAAACATGTTTTTTATGATTTTTATGTGTAAAAAAAAAACATACTCATTGCAACAAATGTATAAAGTAGCAAAGGCGTTATCGGTTGCGTCAACTAACCGTGGATTTGTTACCCGGTGGATACCCAGTATTCATATTTCTCCCAACCCATCTTTATCTGACCCAAGGCAAATAGTGTCATCTCGCTAGTATATAAAGTTCAAAGACAATTATGATTATTTAGTCAACTTGGGCTCTTTGCTGGGATATTAATAAAGCATAAAATATATTAAAATGTTAATTAAAGTGATATCATTGCTTTTCTTAGTGCAGTGTGCATTTTCGGAAGGTTTGTATTGAATCATGTTCAATATGTTTAATTTCTACCTCTTGGAGACAAATAAGAGAAAGTAGTGTATTAAACAAAACTCATAGATAGGTGTCTCCTTCTACAGCTTGTATTATTATATCAGTACTTCTCACAACTTTGAGACATTTATCAAAACTGCCTCCGTGGCGAACGGTTACCATGCTAGACTAGGCCGGGAGAAATATTTAAATGGCCTACTTTTATTTCTCTCGTAAATGCCACTCAAGGCTTTAAATCGCAAGGACTGGGGGCAGTGCCACTGCGCCCGTCACCCTGAGGCATAAGTTGATAAGTCCCATGTGCCTGTAATTTCACCAGCACCCTTACCCTTCATAACTGGAATCCAGTAGGTAACGCTAACATTATTGCTTGGCGGCAGAAATAAATAAGGTTAATTTCCAAAACACTAGTGCATTAATTACTTATTTTGAGATCAGAGTAACGTATGTGATGTTATATAATATTTATTGATTAATCAGAGTATTGATAGGAGTCAAGCTCACATTCCTGTGGGAAAAAACTACTCTATCACAAGCTACAAGAATATTTAAGTCAATGAATACAAAATACAAACAAAAATACAACTATCCAACAAGTAAAGCAGCAGTAGGCAGCAATGAAAATTTCCATTACAAGAAAAATATATGGTGGAAGAAAGATTTTATTGAAACATTTCCATCAGATTTAAAACGTGTGGAAGTTAGTAAAAAACTGCCAAAAAGGTAATTAATATAGAAAATAGGAATTCCAATTGGTAAAGTGTATAATTATTGCATCCGTGGCCGAACGGTTACCATGCCGGAATGCCACACAGAGGTCCCAGGTTCGATTCCCGGGCCGGGAGAAATGTTTATATGGCTTACATTTATTTCTCTCGTGAGTTTGGGTGTAATTTGTGGTTGTCTATGTGTGTGTCCATGGCACCCGCGACACAGGGTTTCCCTAGTGCGGGGCTATGTTGGGAGTGTGCGTTATTTATTTATTTATTTATTATTGTTTATGTTGTTATAATGCAAAGTTTATCGGTACAAAATTTTCCCAATAAGCATTTCAGCGTCATTTGGGACAATCTTATCTCTATTTGTGAGCTTTACATTTTGAAAAGACAAATAAAAGAAACCTCAGAAATCAATTTATAAATTGCCTCCGCGACCGAACGGTTAATGCTGCTGCATGCTGGACTGCCACGCAGAGGTTCCGGGTTCGATACCCGGGCGGGAAGAAATATTTGTATGACCTACATTTATTTATCTCGTGAGGTTGGGTGTAATTTGTGGTTGTCTATGTCTATGTCCATGGCACTCGCGATAGAGGGTCTCCCTAATGTGGGGGCTATGAGTGTGTGCGTTATTATTATTAGATCTAAATGCGTTTCTAAGCTAACTACATCTATGGAAACAACATCAATAACTTTTTTATAAGTTCACCATTCTAACGGCAGTACATATACATAGTAAACAGCTCTATAAATACAGGATTATAACATACACTACCAACCGGTAGTATTGTTATTTAAAAAAAATACTGTTCATTAAGAACCATGCGTTTAAATTATCATCAAAACATAAGATGAGTTGATCAACATAAATGTGACTGTTAGCGAAACGCAGCAGTCGCTACAAATCTCTTTTGTATGTTTCTTATATAGTCTTTTTAAGTTTAGTTTTATATTTCAATTCCAAATTTAAATGTGATTGTTTTTGGCGCCTTTTCTTTAATGACGTTTCTGTTTTTGGATTGATAGCTATACGTATTGTAATAAATTAATAACCTGTAAGTACATTTACTTTGGTCTGGCTCACTCGTTGATAGCACCAACCCGAACCTATTGATATAGGCCGCTACAGTGACAATAAAAGAACATTATACAGTGTATAGGTAAATAAATTATAATAAAATTACGTCGTTGGCAGTGAGTTAACTTTATTGACTTTGAACTTTTGTTCATATACTGACCTACCTACAAATTGCGCGATATAATTATCTACAAATTTAAACAACAAATTTGCATTTAGTAACAGAATCGTTTATTTCAGATCATACGCATATAGTATGTGTATTTTTCTAACTAACATTAGTTAGTGCAACACAATTCAAAAAAACCTAATACTAGACAGATAAATACCTCGGCTATACTACAGTCCAGCCTGTTAGCAACAACGGACAGGATGCTATTAGCGCTGTTGCGCGCATGCATAATGGGGGCGGCGCTATTAGGAAGAATGGCATAGACGATATCCGTGTGCGCCTTTTTTATTACCCGAGGGAATCTGCTTACAATAACCTCGGCCCTGCGGGGGCAGAGCCGGGGTTATGTGGGACTGGGCTGAACCCTGAAGGGGAGCAACCCGACCTCACCAAGCCCCCGGGGTGTTCCTCCTCTCCGCTGCAGGTAGAGGCACGGGTACGCTATCGCTCGTCCGCGCCTTCACCAGCGACTGGCCCCGCCCAGCGCAACCTCTCCCCGAGAAGGGATACACAACGGTCTCCCGACTCCAAATGTAAGGCTCGCCCGAGGAACTCCCCCGAGTCCGCTACCCAAGGGCCATGGGGACAATATCCCCTCAACTGTGAAGTTCAGAGGACGCTCCCCCAGCCCCCGCGGCGGATCTGTTGGTAGGCTCCGCCGCAACAACCTACGCGCATCCACGTGGACTCTCCGTAGAGAGTCCCTTGGAGCGCCCACCGCGATACGCGAACATAGCAGCAGCCCCATTAGCATCCTGAAAGCGTTGTTGTATAGTAATACAATATAACTGGAAACTCTATAGTAGCGATTGTTTAATAAAATGAAGAAGTTCCAGTGCAAATGAGAGGCCCTGAATATGAATTAGAAAAAAATGAACATAAAAAGTTAATTTATTTGTGAAAAGAACAGATACGCAAAAAAATCTAATCAAAAACAACAAAAACAGGCAACAAAAGAAAAGGAAACTTCAAGAAAGTAAATTGACGAATGATTATACACAATTCCTGCAGTTGTTGACCATCTGTGAAAAACATTTAAAGCAAGCTGAGCACCAAAATACATAAAGATAAAAAATAGGCGCCTTGACGTCGAGTTGCGGACACCAGCCCGTTACACCAAGTACCAAGTACATAAAGATATTTAAAATATTATAATAACATAGACAATAACAAACCGCAGTGGTTTTAAACACGAACAAAGTATCAAGTTATTACCTGAATTAATAGACGATAAGATATTTGCAATACTGTCAGTGTCGCAAACTACAATTAACAAAGAGAAAAAAAAACAGGAAAATTTACGAATGACGACTATTGCGCTGTTATGATAACAGAAAATGACTTCAAAACAACTTGATTACTGCTTATAGCCCTTATTAATGATAAGCTTTGTTATTTGTCACACACCAATTTTATATTATGTATACCGACGCGAAAGAGGGGCGATTACACAAACTTGTTTAAACAGAAGAATTTAACAAATTATTATAAAGTTCAATAGTGATTTCAACATACCACCGTATGTGTAAACATATTATTAAAATGATTTTAAGAGAAAATAAATTAATACGCTGTGACAGAAAGAAAGAGGAACGTTATGAAAATTATAATTAGAATAGTAGCTATTTTGACAAACATGTTATAAAGACCACACGGTAGAAATAAATAAACAAAAATACACACATTAAACACCAAATATAGTAAAGCACAATCTTGTGGCATCAGAGTATGTTCAGCGAATATTGGGTTTTTGTGTAGCATATGGCACGTACTTCTCGGGCGTTGAGCGCGCGCTCATGTGAACGGTAGTACGGCAAACTCATGACAACCCTATGCTCTCAAAGCGCTCGTCAACGCGCACTTGTAAAGCCGGATACTCACTAGAGAGCTGTAACCGTAACCGTTTTACATGTTGTATAACCAAAAATCATAGTGTTTTTGTATGTTGAGGGCTTGCTGCGAGCGGAACACATGCGGTACGTCTGAATGAAGACCGTTTCAAGCATACCCACTAGAACCTCGATATTTATTACCATATTTTTATATATTATTAACATATTTTTATTTTTTGGGAATACGCAAAATAAGTTTCGAATTTTCACATTTTCATATTGTTTAATTTATTACTCTTGAAGCACTAAAGGCAATGGCCTAATTAGTGCTACAAAATAATAATGAAACGAGAGTTAAAACAGAGATGCTTTATATTGTCCAAAATTATTTTTGATTATTGTAATATTTCATTATATAAATTAGTTTAAATGAAATTTATAAAAATTTATAGCGACTATAAAGTCACTTTTTTTCTGAACTTTTTGTTTCATTTGACTTAACAAGAATGAAATCTCTATCATTTTCACCTGCTAAGCAAGATGTTAGGACCCTTATCAAGATTAAACCGTTTTAATTGTGAAACAGAATCCTCTAAAAATTGTAAAAATTGAATGATTTTCGGGACGAAATGGGCTAAATTACTAATCCGGCTTTTTCACCAACGGTAGTGGCGTGTTGTTTTTGCAAATACAGATTCAACATGCGACATTCACATACCGAGACGCAGGAGAATTTCAAACCTATTGAAAAGACCAATTAAGAGAGTCTGTGCCAATAGAGCCTTAAGGAGTCAGTTCCAAATTAACAGTCTTAGGAACAATGTTAATAAAAATGGAAGTAAATTAATTTGCTACTCCACGAACCCAGTGGAGTGGAGTGGAGTGAACCTACTACTTAAGGTATACTTAGGGTATATTTATGGTGGTGGTTTGTGATTTTAGTTGCGCTTCTGTTATTTATTTTATTAATTTTATGCGGAGGGAGGATGGGAAAATGAACTGCTTGAAAAAATATTCAACAGAAACGCAGCTATTTTGCACGATTTAACCTTCACTGGTTCGCGAAGTTGCAAATTAATTTACTTGCATTTTTATACACATAGACTTCCGCAAAGCAACGCCTGAATCTATTAATTACTTAAGAACAATGATTAAAGTCGTTTTACAAAAACTCAAACAAAACAAGATATGTACTTTCTTATTTCTTTCTATAATGCGAGAAATATAAATTGATTATGAAACCTTTTTATTGCTCATTTCAGATTCCCTTATCAAGCCATGTCCAGTAGAAGACATTCAATGCCTCAGTGAGACCACCGAGAAGTTTCTAGATCGCGTAGCTTCGGGTATTCCCGATTTGGACATTAAGGCAATTGATCCTATTATTATAGATATGGTCTGTTCGAAAGGAATGGCTGATCTTATGGTACATTTCAAGAATGCTAACGTTACCGGTCTCAGGAAACAGAAAATATCGGATTTCAAGTAAGTGTTTGACTGTATAACGTTACGTTACTATTAATAGTGTTATATCGAGTCCTTAAGATGGTTTTCCAACGGCGATGCGAGACAATACGAGGCGAGCACGTGAATTGAAATCTCGCCGGCCTATTTTCACCAAAAATTACCATTAACAGCTCGCGCGATTTCGCGTAGTCGTTGTGGATTGTGAATAGTGAAAATTCAGAGATATTCAGTTCGTCTAACGATAAACACGCGGCTGAGTAACATGTCTCATAGATTATTATTACTTTTGATGTAAAAATGAAATTTTAAAACTTTTATAATGAAGCCATCTTTTTTTTTCATTCCTCATCTCACCTTGCTGGTGGAAAAGCACCTTTCGAATGTGGCGATTATAAGACATTGGAAATGAAACTGTTATGGAATTGACTATATTACTAATATCATAAACAACTAATCCAAGTTACGGATTTGTTTTATTCCTGAATTTATTTCTATTCCCTAAGTTTAGATACTAGTTAAAACTTACTCTTTTGAAATTATCTTACTATTATTAAATTATGATGCTTATGATTTATTTTACCATTACGTTCTTTGAGTGTCATACATAATTTCGACAAGCACTATTTCGACTCGATAGTACTTCGACTGCACATTAATTCAACGGAACACTACTTCGACAAAACACATGTTCGAGAGGTCGCTAGTCCGACAAAACTCTGCTTCGACAACACAAACTTTCGATATGTCACTACACCGACAGAATATGAAATCGACAAATGACTTCTTAATAAGTTATTAATTATTTCTCCATCGTATTTATATATATGAGATATTCCGCTCAAGAGTGAGGTGGTCCACAAGTAGTCTCTCAGTACAGCAAATATTTATATGAAATATTTCAAGTTTTGTCGGAATAGTGACTTGTCGAATACATGTGTTTTCGAAGTTGTTTTCTATCGCTGTAGTGACCTGCCGAATGATTGTGTTGTCAAAGCAGTGTTCTGTCGGACAAGTGACCTGTCGATCATGTGTTTTGTTGAAGTAGTGTTAAGTATGACTGACCGTTCTTTCTATAAGTAGGACTTCCGAATGCATTCTTACATATTTCTCTTAATTATAATAATTTAAAAATTAGAAACAATATGTATTTCTGAACAAATTTTCACAAAAAATGGATGAGAACAAATTTTTGCGGTTCCACGGATTATTTTTGTAGAAGTTGTAACGAAGCTTACGTCTCCCCTTTGACGTGTAAGTAATATATACTAAATATACATACATGTATTCAGTAAATACTTTACAATTTCACAGGATGGATACAGCTGCCAAGTCTGTGGTACTGTCCGTCAATGTAGACGTAAATATTGCTTCCAATGTCGAATTAGAATTCGAGAAAACAAAGAAAATATATTCTGGAACATACTCCGCTACCGGAAGTAAGTTAGAACCATTCGATGAATTGGTATATAAATAATGCTACCAGTTTTCCAATAAATATTGATTTCTTATTTATATATTTATTTCCTTATGCAGGAATTCAGGGCGTTTATGGTACCGTAGGCTTTTAAGATTTCCATAACGTAAGTGCTTTAACTACTTACTTTGGAATCAGAGCAACGCATGTGATGTAGTGTATTTATTTATTTAAATTAGAAAAGAATTGATTCTGCCACAAGATTAAAAACAAATTACTTGCTTGTAGAGTTTAATCAATACTATAATAACTATTTCCAGTGAAATTTTCTTAGCTATGAAACAAAGATTGTTTTTGATTGAAGACTTTGACTTTGCATAGTTCGCGAAATCCTTTTGAAATTACTCATCACTTTCATATCAAAAATAACTGTGGTGAACGAATATACCCGCGCCGCCACACATAAAAAGGGGGTATAATAAACGAAAGTACTTTGAAGCTCTTTCTTGTGATACCTATTGTTTTTGTATTCTTTATATTTTTTTCGCGAAAGTAAGTAAACGTTCTATTTAGAAGAGCAATTATCATGGAAAACTTTTGTTTTTATTATTTCCTCGCATTGTTTGAGAAAAGCACTATATTATACACCTCGGCGGGAATAGTGTTTATCGGACTCGTACAAAACAAAATAAGTCATACTCATCCGGCAATTCTTTACTTCCCGGTCTCTGCAATAATGTAATATTACCAATACGTTACAATTTTAAATATTTGACGATTGCAAACAACCTCGAACTGCCTGTAGAAACATGCCACATACACACAGCCAAGTCGTCAGCTTATTTTTCAGCGAAGTACATACGTGTTTTGTTTTATTATATATATAATCCTCGACAGAAACAGAATATTTACCTGCGACTCTTCCTTGTAACTCATACTCGTTTAGCAATTGCGTACGGATCAGGTCCTTGTAATAATGTACTTGCTACAGCTTCCATAATTAGTTTCAATATATTTCCACCAAATCGTTACAATGAAACTGATTTGAACTGCACTGGTAATAATTGGAAATGCAATTGATAAGTGTAACTTTAAAAGACTTCAAGATTACAAAAGAGTTTTAATATAATTTTTCAACTTTCCAGAGGCGGCATTAACAGCAGTCTACAATTACGAAGTAAAGGCTAATGACAAGGGTGTGGAACATTTCGAAGTCGGACCAGAGACCATTACCTGTGATATTAAAGATTTGGATGCTGTAGCCAGCGAAGAAATTACGAACGGGATTGTAAACGGTAATATAATTTCATTATATCTCAAAATACTTACTTTTATTTTCATTACACTTACTCGTAAGCAATGTCATGATATACAGTATACAGGCGAAGCCGATGTGCGAAATTATGTCCACGGGCATTTTCATGGGATTTTTTACGTCAACATTAAGCCAAAAGTTTTTATGCTCGAAAAATCTGAACGTATATTTCGCATAAAGTTGAAGTAGTATAAAAAACTAAACATTTGCAATTTAACTATATTTTACTAAATTTATATTGTGAATTAATATTCTGCAGTATTTTTAGAATTTTGAAATTATTTAATTTATATCTAATACATTGTGGCTGCATGCATCTGTGCCTTTTATAACATTTTAGTGCGAGTTGTATTTATTATCTATAGAAGAACAGCTGGCAATCTGTTAAAATAACAGCCATTTTCGAAATCCGTAAATGTTGTGTTGTGAAGCGCTATTTATTCAGACAAGAAATAAATTATCTTATCTGTTTCCTCGCAAATGTGATGAAAAACATTGTTTGTAGCACGGGCGGTAAAAATTACAAAACTCGAGTCATTATAGCCCTCAGCCTTCGGCTTCGGGCTTCTAACGTAATCTCGTTGGCAACTTCTTATTTACCGCTCTTAATACACAATGACTATTATTTATTTACTCATATTACAATAATTACTTACTAGACACTCTTAAGCTTATAAAGGTTTGTTTGAGTGTTGCAACTCTTTGTAACATTGCGATTCTTTGCGACCTGAAACCAACAACAGCAATTTGTAAGAATTAAAATTCTGTTACAGACGTAGGAAACGAAACTATTTTTCCGGATTGAATTCGCGTATATTTGTTTTTTCAAACAAACCTAGGTAAGATTTGTTTGAAAAATAGTTTCATTTCCTATATGTAACAAACACGAAAACCTAAGAACTCGATCTGTTACAGACGCTTAGACAAAAAAAATGAACACTACAACATTGTCAGTTTTCTGTCTGAACGAATGAGTAAACTCGAAGTTCATTTATTGAAACGAATATCCAGGGATATTATCAAAATCAAAAGAGCAATAACACTTCTCTTCGTTAGCTTCTATAGTTTGTGCCAATCGTATCGACCCATACATTGTCTCTGACAGGATGACCACTTTATGTTTCGATTCCATTTCTAAGAATTAATATTATGTTACAGATCGACACGCGAAGAAAATCTACGATGAAAATCGTGCAGATGTTGAGAATATAAAAAAAAGAAACGCCTGCGATATACTGAAGACAGCTTTTGCTGTGGTTATACACAATCTCAGGACCATCGCCAAGCTGTATCCAAAAACTGCTTTCTTTACCAATGTTTAAATTAAAGTGTCCCCTGAAATGAAACAAATAGCAACTCAGAATTTTAGCAACTTTGCTCTAACACAAACGTTTTCAATCAAATTATTAAACTCAGCTTTTATAACGAAACTGTATTTTATAGAAACAAACCTTTTATATTTTTTCAAAGTTGGTGAAAATGGATATTTGTCTATGTTTGTTGTGACAATAACTTAAACTACATCCTCTAAGGACAATAATGATGACAAAAGTCTCGATCTATGATGTTTGAAATTAAAAAATATACTGGAAATGATAAAATTAGAATTTCTTATTCATTCTTATCAGTGCAATCTGAGTTTATTCAATATGACAATTTCAATTGTAATTTGCTTGAATAAAGATTATTTGACTAAGCCTTTGATATTACAATTTAGCACAAAAAATTTCAATAACGATTTTGAAACATTTTATTTCTGTTTTGAAGGTTTTTACAGAACATCCTAATGGCATGTTCAGGTGTGCATGCTCGTCGACCTCATCGGTACTTTTCATCAGGTGAGGTGGAGGTCAAATGCGATTATTATAATTTAAAAACTTGCATTTGAAAAATACTATTTAAAGTGCCTTTTAAAAACGTTAAATAACCAAACTTATACTAGGGATGCTAATGTATGAACTGTAGGAACTGTACCTTTTTTTTTATTGGATAGGACATTGACCCCAATGTGACTTTACCTACTTTAATTTGTATTATTATTCCTGTGTCATTTACTTACAGTAAATGTTGAAGAAGTTTATTTAGGACTAAAAGCACTTGGCTTACCCAAAATGTATGTACCTATTTAGATAGGCACATACATTTGGGCAAACATTTTACAAATATGAAAAAATTGTATTTAGTGTATTTTTTCATTAAGTAAGAGTTCTGCAAACGGGCTATCCTGATTTATCTTTTTGGTTTCTACATAAGTTCCATATTCTGTCAATAGATGGTGTTTGAGAAAATAGCACAATTGCTGCATGGGAATTAAGTCAATGTTGTGCATATCATGATTTATTTACATTACTTTCAATGTAAATAAAATGACTGGCTGTTCGTTTTGCTGTATTCTGATTAATGTGCGCAAGACTAGATGCGTTTCTCAGTCACTTGACAATACTTCACAGGATTATGAAAACAACACACTTCACGTCTATTGTTCCATCCTCCACCTCTGTAAATTAAAACTACATAATAATAATAATAACGCGCATACTCAACATAGCCCCGTACTAGGGAAACCCTGTGTCGGGGGTGCGATGGACACACATAAACTACCACAAATTACATCCAAAGAAAATGTAGGCCATATAAATATTTTTCCCGCCCCGGAAATCGAAACTGGTACCTCGCGTGGCAGTCCGACACGGCAGCTACTTTGTATTTAGAAAAATATACTCCAACAACTCTAAATAAATATTTTACTGTAGCTGTTACGCTAAAAAAAGGTCTGTTGATTTTTATCAAAAACTTATTTTGACTTTTTGTAAAGCAGATGCCGCATTTGCTTATAAATGCAGGGTGTTAGGTCAATGAGAGCAAACATTTAGACAGGTAAAGATAGAAACAGAAGAATATTTACTTGGTTTCATTCCTTTACAACTAATATAAAGTTTAGCAACTCCAATGAACACTATGCCAACTTTGTTTTTTGGTCATTTTCTGTTTTTGTAAACAGCCATATTTATTTCCTAATGTTATGCTCGTCGAATTTTGTGAATAAAAAATAAAGAAACAAATAACCTTTTTTTAACTCAAGAAATGTACTTTTGCAGAATCGATGAAAAACGAATTACTCACTTCCCGTGAAAGATTATTAAAATTTATGCATAGGTTACAGTTTATTACAGACATCTAAATTTCCTACTTGCCAAATATATTCAAAAATAATGGGAAAAAGGTTTGTCTCATTTTGAGTTAAATAGATATATTTTAATTGTTACTAACAATATTCTACCGACGATTGTATTGATGTGCAGAGATTGAAATTTTACGTTCAGATATAGTATAATCTAGAATTTCACATATTTTGAGTTACGACTCTATTGTAATAGCAGTGCGATATTAACAGTAAACACTTTTTGTGGTGACTATACCTATCTTATTAATCGAATGTTATTACAGTGTTTCACACCCACACAATTTTTTTTTACAATTTGCATTCTCTAAAACCTGTTTGCCACTATGGGTTTGTATGACTACATTATAGAATACACAATTAAATATCATATGGTTTGAAAAGAAACTGAAAAGCTATTTATTAATGATTACTATTTATATTTATCATTAATTACTATATTATGTTAATGATTTTAACATTTATTGTAAGTGTAAAAATAATAAATATGTAATAATAATAATAATAATAGTCTAAAAATTATTTCTCGAGAGTATCAGTTATTAAGCGTGAAACACACAGAGCGGGTGCGGGTCGGGCGCTTGTCGGGTCGAATTCCATGTATTTATATGGACAACAACAAACCGAGCGCGAAAGAGTGCGGCCGTCCCGCGCCCGCGCTCGATATGTTGTAGTGAGACAAGAGAAATGTTTCTATCCTCGAGTGACTTTTTTCTGTTTAATACATTAACGCGTATACACACACACTCAACATAGCCCCGCACTAGGGAAACCCTGTGTCGCGGGTGCCAAGCATTGACAACAATAAATTACACCCAAACTCACGAGAGAAATAAATGTAAGCCATACCTCAGTCAGATTACAAATAATCTGAGGGCCATACAAATATTTCTCCCGGCCTGGGAGAACCTGGGACCACTGTCGCATAGTAACCGTTCGGCTACGGAGTCAGTTAAATACGTTTACATTGAATCCATGGTCAAAAATGCAGCCAGGGAGCTAGGCATTCTTTCCAAGGTGAGGCGTTACTTCACACCGGGACAGTTGCTTCAGTTGTATCAAGCACCAGTCCGGTCGTGTCTGGAGTGGTGGTACTGCTGCCACCTATGGGATGGCTCTGCTAAATACCAACTGACCACCTTGGATTCAGTTGTTCCACCTTGGAAGCGTTCCAAGTGGGTTATAGTAGAGTAAATTTAGGAGGCCAAGCTTCAGAACCTTGAACACCGCCGTAAAATTGCCTGCGTATCAATTGCTACTGAGTATATCACGGATCGTACAATTCCATTGTACAATGGAATTAGTGGAATAGAAACCGTGCAATCCCATTGTACAATGGAATTCTACGATTTAATTCCGGATTCCCCTTTCTATCACCGTAGGAGTAGACGTACCTAGGCTTGGGTTCCACCCCCATATTGTGGATATTCCACGGAGTCAAACGAAGTGTTACGCTTCCACTCTTGCGACTGGCTATACAGTGGAATTCCCTGCCTGCAGACTTGTTCCCTGAACTTTATAACTTGGGCCTCTTCAAGGCGAGAGTTTATTTATTTATTTATTTATTAAGCAATAGGTACAAAAAGAAAAATTTAAATCTAGGCTGCTAACAGTGTAAGAAAAACCATACCCAAACCAAACGTTCACAGTGGACCAATACGTCACACATTCCAGAGTTAGACAAATTTTTGGGGCGTAACACACGGAAGTATTTTGTTTCATTCTTAATTTAATTTTTTTTATTACTCTTTTAGTTATTAAAAAAAATACTATTTTATATTATGTTTAACGTTGTATGTACTCATTAATCTCAGTTTTGTGTTGTACAGGTACTTCATTTACTAATTTAGGTACTTGATATTGTAGTAATTGTTTTCCATATAAATTGTATACTTTGGTATTTTTAACGTAACTTTGAGTTAATAGGTATTATTTAGGTATGCGCACCTAATCGTTGATAGCTCCATCATTGACCTCATCGTCATTATCCATCAGGTGAGATGGAGGTCAAATGCACACTTACATTTTATAAAAATAAAAATTAATGTGATGTAGTGGATTTCAAAAATGTTTATTTTTTATGTATATTTTTTAACATTAATGTGACATTAACATTAACATACAAACGATATGGTTATCTTTTGGCTATCATTGTAACCATTGGTTGGCAAACCAGTTTCAAATGAGAACGTTGTTCCTTGTAACAGTTATAAATTAAAGAATATTAGTCATCCTTTATAGGCATGCTTCATAACCAGTTTAGATTGAATAATTACGTACCTATATTATTATTTTGACAGGCTACATTCAAAATACTTTTGAAAAATATGTTAAATTTATTCCACATCTTTCTATCATCGGTAACTTTTAAAAAAATATATGGGAATTTCGTATTTTCCGCTTATAAATTTAACATTTTTGCACTCGTACCATTTGCCATAAATCGCATGGGCCCTCCCCCCGTTCCAAAACGATAAAACCGACTGTAGCAATAATTATACGAACGGGCTTTACGTATTTCGCATCACCAGTCACACTGTCTCTAATAATTGGTGGCTTGTTTGTGGTTTTAAATTTTCAGGTTTCCATATTTCAAAACCACAGGAATTAAACCCAGTTTGTTTTATCGAGCCTTCAGAGTATTTGTCGCTACGGATCGTACGGAATTTATCTAAGAGATACAATCAATGAAAAAAGTCACTGATCATCTAGAGATTTTCGTGGTAGCTTTACGTCAATATTAAGGAGTCTTTTAAATATGTTACTGTTATTTTTTTAACAAAGTTTTTCTTTTCTATCATGGTGATAAAAGAAACATGCTTTACACAGGGCGACTTTTACGCGCGATTGCAACGCTACACTTGCGATTTATAACGCTACACTATCGATTGCCTCGATGCAAATGCGCGACTGGTAAAGATAGACGATCAGCGACTGCATCGCTACTGCATCGCGTTTGCGTCGCCGCTAAAAAGCGCCGTGTGTAACCGCTCTTAGAAGTTACGTTTTTAAATTTTAAGCATGTTCTTTGAAGACATTACTCTTGATATGCTTATACTAAATGTAATGCAGGTTTAAGAATCATATTCCCAGCTTAGCGCGTTTGCATATCGATGCCTTACTTTCTCAAACTCGTATCTTTTATGGAGTGATTGTTCGGGAGATGGCAAAACGATCTATTTATTTTAAACTTATTATCAAGAGTGTTAATTTGGATTGAATTACTTTAAGAATAGGTAAAAGCTAGTGTGTAAATATGAAGGAAATGTGATATGAAATCAGCCTGCAAAATTTGTATATACAATCCATTTTTTGCATTTCAGTATAACTTTGTGCTTTAAGATACGAGTTTGAGAAAGTAATGCGACGATATGCAGATACGTTTAGTGTCTATTCCGATTACGAAACTACACAAATCTAGAAAACTTGGACCCACTTCGGATGTCGCTTGTGCACTAAGTCCGATTCAATTCCGAGAAAATACTAATATCGCTTGTACTTAGAGATAAAATGACACTTTGAACACCTGTGACATTTCGGACCGTCATTTCTTGGATTCGTAACTGATCGAATCGAACGTAGGGCGCGAACGCTCTTAATGTCAATGTAACGTATTAATCGTACCTTGATATTCTAATTTAACAAAACATTATGTGCATTTATCCACCGTCTTGTCTAAACAAAACTTTGTGCAGTATTTTTTATGATATCAAGCGACGGGACACATACACACTCGGTCGTGCGCGTGGTGGTAAGCAACACGCCTACCCATAATAGTTGCAGTGTCTTTCAGAGGTTTAAATCGCAAAGATGGGTACCGCCACTGCGCTCGTCACCCAGATATTAGTCGACAAGTCACATGTGACTGTAATTGCACCTTCAAAACCGGAACGCAGTAATATACTCCCGGACACGTAATTCCAGCCACCTCGCGTTTTTGCCTTAAAGAGTTAGAATACAAAATTGGTGTTATCATCGAAGAAAAAAGTTTCCCCCGATTTTGCAAGTTCAAATTACCAACAAGGACTTATGGAAAAGACTTTTTTAACATACTAGTTTCAAAATTGCGTAGGATAGTTCTTGATCAATCGAACATTGTTTAAGCTTAGGGCATTTAATACTGATGCGAGGTGGCTCGAATTATGTGCCCGGGAGTGTAAAAGCATTACTGATTGGTGGCAGAAATAGGAGCTCTACTGTTACTAAAATTTTAATTATTTTTTTTCATTACAGCTTTAAAAGATGAAATCTACTTTAATGACGATTACCGTAATAATCGGTTGCGATATTGGGGTCCAAACAGCGTTAAAATACACATACGTACTTGAATAAAAAGGAGGGAACCCGCAAATCATGAGTTCACTCACACCTTACCTTGACTTTTTTATTTTTTGAAGAGCGGTATAAAATGTTGAAGCTCAACAGAGAGGCTTTTTCACTTATTTAGTTCACAAAGCGATGATACGCGATTGTGTTTTATTTATCTGTGTGGTCGTGCTCTGTGAAGGCCAATTTCAATATGTGAAGTTTAGTAACAGAAACGATTTTATGAGTAAGTACGATTATTGTTTAGTATTTTTTTTATGTGAAAGACATAATATTGTCCCCTAATAGTGGTTTCAATGTAGTAGAAATAGTAAAAGTATCTAGTAGACTAGACAAAAGCTCGTCGCAAACTCTACATTTTATATTTCATTATTTTTTATCAAAACTTTTGTGAGACAAGTTTCTTAAAAATTTTGAGTTTGTCAAATAATACTTGATGCCCAAATTGCAAACTTAAAAATCGTCGAAGCAAGGTGCCAAGCTACTTTATTGGTAACACATAAGCTACATTAAGTTGATTTGTAAGAGAATAAAAAAAAATGTTAAACACATTTTACAAAAATTTTATTATTTTTCTAAAACAGGCTCGCATTATTACACAGTGAACAAGGATCAAAAAATTGTTATGTATAATATAATATATAAATCATCTATAAATTAAGAAACAAAACTTTAACACGATCAAACAAAAACCAATATATTTTGCAAACCATTGGCTTCCTTTCATTTATTAAGATTGATACAGATGTTTGCCTTGCCACGCGCAAGGCAAACATCAATGTAAACCAGATTAATTGGCATTTGTTCAAATTTATCCTTACTGCACCAATTTGTTTTATCTTACTTGGACCGTTATTATCAGAAAGGGTCTGGAAACAATTCGTTCATTAATCATTCTTTTGTCATTTTCGCTATTGAAAACCGTTACATGTTTTTAAAAAGATTAGCAGTTACATAAGTTCATAAATA